GATTTTTTTTTTTTTTTGGGAGAACGGACGAAAATCGGTGCGCGCGCAGGATGTCATCCATAAAATTAAAAAAGGGTGGCCTTACTGGTAGGCTATTGGTAACTTTTGAATAAGGATAGCTTGGGAATCGAACCCAGGACCTTCCACACAAGGTGAACGCTCTACCACTGAGCTTGCTCTCCTGTGATATTTCACTGCCACCTGTCCTGACTAATGTCCACTGCCTCAAAACAATGTACCACTAAAATCAAGCTAGAGGCGCTGACAACTATCAAATCAGCCCACAAGCATGATGGTGGGAGCGCTGAATTTATTTGCCTTTATTAGACATATTGTTCTGACCAGAATTACCCTTTTCTTCTTGTACATTTTAGTATCATTACTTAAAATTCTTACTATAATATACTTTAAAACAAATGTTTTGGTCTAAGATTAACGGAACAGCTGACATAGGGCATCATAAAGATAAATGGGTATACGACTTTCCTGACATATCAATTCCCTCTCAGTGTCTCACTCAAGGCTATCTTGCTGGAAGTTGGGTAAATTTGGCCTGGCTATGGTTTAAAAAATGGACATCAAACTCAAAAACAAACCAAACCAACGTGACTTTAAAAATGGGTCAAACAAGACAAGCACGAACACAATCTCCTCTCAACACATCTAACACACTGCGGTGCGCAAATGCGCTCCAAGTCAGCCTATCATCTAAATAAAAAACTTTATTAAAAAACGACTAATTTCATTTCAAAAGGTAATAATTATGAGGAGAAATATTAGATTTACGCATATCTATTTTATTTGAAATTTAATAATCATTTTTCACTTACCTGTACAGCATTTTATTCGTGCGTCTATAGATTTGATATGGGAAAAAAATACCGTAACTCCTGTTGTGCGCAAAGGATTATGGTCTATATGAATAAGGCAAATCCTCATAGTAGTCAGTAAAGGAAAAAGTTCAATGGCTTCTCATGCTGTAACACCCTATCCTGCTCATTTTTCATAAAGTTTTTTATAAAGTTTTTTATAAAGTCTCTACATGTTTGAACAATAAGATGAGCACAACACTCACCAAATCTATAGCCAGTAATATCTGCTCCTCTGTTCTGATACCTCTCACCAGACTCTCCACCAGGCGTCTCTGGTTAAGCTCCTCTTGGAAATCCACACTGCCATACTGGCTCTGAAATTTACAGACTGTAATGTTCTAGGTAGTTTCAAAATGAGCTGCTTCCTGTATGCAACATAAAAAAGTATAATTAACAAGGCATGCACTTCTGTGTAATCCTGTCAAATAAGCAAAGATACCTAATTATGAAAATGTTCTAAATTAAAGAATCACCACCTTGTATAAATGTAGTCACAATGGACAGAGACAATGGACAATGGAATTCTTTTTACTCTAATATCCTGTTATCAAAACACTTTTGTGAGCACAGCCTCAATAGCAAAAATAATTAAATAAATAAATTAATAAATAAATTTAAATAATTAAATATTTATATAAAACCAATCTCTCAAGCTATACAAGGTATCTGACAACAACCTGCTTTCCAAATGAAGTGCATAATAATAACATAACCAACCAAGGTTTACCATTTACTGGATATGCATCTAATTTGTACAACTCTTTGAATAAAATGAACCCAAGACAACTCACCATGATAATCTTAGAGTCTGCTATGGTCATGATCCAGCAGAGGGCGTCCAGGACCTCAATACGAGCCACTGACCACACTCCAGGCCACTGGTCAGTGATGATGACAACAATGTCGAGACAGCTGTTAAACAGTGCAGTGGACATGGCTTTGTCTTCTGGTGGGGTCTTCACAGTGTGGTCAGTCTGTGTGGTCAGTATGAGGGCCAGCAGACTAGTCAGACAGGATATCTTTAAACTGGACTCCAAATGCTCTATGGGCATCATTTTTAAAACCTGTAAAAAATGAGATTTTTTATTGTATAAAACCATGGTATTGAACTCATGTTTCCTTTTCAGATTAACCTGAATCCTAGAAAATGAAAAATTTAAAAAAATGTCATAAAATGATCTGCTTTTATATATATATTTGATTATCTAATTTTTATACAAGTTTACATGTCCCACTGTTAGCTTTAGTTAAAGATTTTTAAAAAGTTTTATTCTAATACATACTACTACATAGTGGTTGATCTTAATCACATATAACACAACGGCATTTCAGTAAAAGTTTCTGCTACAAGAGGGCACTCCTACAACTGACCTGCAGACATTCCAGGACAGTCTTGATATCAAACTTGAACCAAGGAAGTGTAGATCTTTCTTTCAAAAGTTGGTTCAACTTCTCCACTGCCCGAGTGTTCTCCTTTCCACTGGAAAAACGAAAAAACACTAGCTGAGTTATTAAATCCAGCTCGTAACATTATTTCCAACTGCTGTGAGCAGAATTCAAAATTTAGACTTCCTGGCAGGCAGAAAACCTGTCTTTTACACTTTCATCCTATTAATTTTACTATGTTTTCTAAATATTTTTCATTCTTTTTCATGCTTGAAACATCAAAAATGCTGTAATTTGTGTCATTTTATTTTCAGTCAACACTTTAAACATCAATATAGTAGGTTGCATGTTTGACAAATGATTGTCTTGAATACATTATTATCTTTACCAGATTTTGCTGGTGACGGAATAGTCAACAGATTACCTGTCCTTAGCCTCAGTGACTGCTGCTGTATCCAGTACATCTGCACACTCTTCCCAAAACAATTTTCTCTTCTTCACACTAAAACAGTCATTTACACATTAAGACACTAGCTTTCATCATAAAAATAAATGTCATAATAATGCCAATTAAATGCACTTTTAAACTTATTTTTACAGGACATCTTCAGAAAATATTTAAAATATATATCTCTGTCAAGCTCTATGCATCTAACTAGAACCCAAAACTTAAAATATGTTTGCACATGTACAATGGCATGAATATCAACTTACATTTTTCCCTCTAGCACTCGTGCTGAGCGCAGGCACTGGGCTATCCTGGCAAACACCTCAGACACAAAGTACCCATGCAGTGGTGCCATCTCATGGCAAACAGAACCTGTCATGAACTGTACACTGATAACTTTAACTGGTGACCTAGAAATGGACATAAAAAATTTCAAATAATTCTGTCAAATGTGAACACAATATTGAATGCCCCTTTACCTTAACAGTGTTAGTTTGCGGTTGTCCGATTACTATACAGAATCATTTTTATTCTATTACCTAATAAGTACAAAGACTGGACTCAATTCGTAAACTCAATCTCTCTCTCTCAGGTATTAACATGCACTCCTGAAAGCGTATTTATCTAATGTGCCAGCTGTCTGGTCTCTAGCCTGCCTTCATACACACTCACCCCTCACTGTCATCTTCTTCCCTCAGTGCAGCTCCCACCATCAAGCTGGCAAGTCTGTGTATCGTGGCAGAACTGAGATAAGGAATCAGGAGAAGAAGGTTGGAGACCACCAGATGCCACTGGGCCACAGGAAGATTGAACTTGGACAGGGAGGGCACCTGAAATATCAAGTTGCTGGAGATTGTGGAAAAGGTCACACCTGATTCAACCTAGGCAGAAGATCAGCTTGTCTTAAGGTCACAAGAATTGCAGCAGCGAAACTGGCTTACACATTTAGACCACAATTTGGTGTTGGTTTGAAACAATAGGAATGAAAATGTGTCTTGTTACCAGAGACCAAAATATTGGAGCAGTAATAATTAACTCTAGTTTTTGAGTTGTTGTTTGAAGACACAATGCATTATTGCAACTCTGAATACAAAAAAAAAAAATAAAAATAAAAAAGCTAAAGAAATTCTTTGCTGAAATTGTTAATGATGCAACATTAAAGAAAAACACTGTGCTCACTGGTCACATGTGTGCAATTAAAATCAAAAACATACCCTTCCATCCCACACTGCTACTTCTGCTCCATCCAGTTCCTCCCAGCTAGTGACAACCAATGATACGCTTTCTTCTGCCAGGTTGCTAAACAACTCAGAACTACTTTCTGTCATGGAGGATCCATACAGAAGATGATACCTCAGGGACTGGAGAGACAGCATTTGCTGTAAAGAGATCAATGATAAAATTATTTGATTTAAATCTTTAACACTGTCTTAATTTCCACTGAATGACTAAATAATTGGACACTTAATAAATAAAATCTTCTAAGAGAGTATACAGAGCTTAGTAATGCCCCTTCTTTTGAGATTCTCAGCTGGGATAATATTTAGAGTTACATGTCTTATGAAAAATGTTTTTCAATTACATAAAAAGTGCTTTTCAATTTACTTTAATATGCTTTATCTACTGTATGACTACAAATATATCACATCCTTATTTAAAAAAAAAAAAAAAAAAAAAAATCTAAACCAAGTCCTTTCTACAAGCTCTAAAACTGCTATCTATATATTAAATATGTTTTCTTTAATCTTTCTTACCATGAGTAACTGAGAACAAGGCCATTTTTTCTTCATGATTTTCTGTGCTATATCACTCCACTGTTGCTGGGTGAGGTAACCATGGAGACTGGTTTCCATGGTGATGGACTGTTGTTTATAAATGCTTGACATCAAGGAAACATCTCCCCAAGCATGATTCAAAAGAATGACAGATGACCAGACACTGTCCTGCTGAAATAATCAAACACAGGGTGCTTCTCTAATGGTTCTTTATCATACACAAATATTGCTAATAGATAAACAGAGCATTATCAGAAACTGTACTAGAATACATTTCAAAAACTTTTTATTGTAAGATACTAGCTCGGCCTTAAGAATAACACTCACTGACAGAAAGACCTGTAAAAATTGTAAGTAACACTATTGTTGAAATTATGAAAAAAAAATTTTTACCATTAACACACACACACACACACACACACACACACACACACATACACACACACACACACACATATTTATCGAAATAAAAGAACAGTTAGATACCTTTTTCCCTTCTTTTTTCTCCAACATTGGCAGCAATATTTTGGTTTTCATCTCCTCTGTGAGAATGCTGACTCTCTTGGTGGTCTGACCTGTGACACTGTAGTCAAATAACCTGGCATGGTGGAGACACAGGTGGTACAACTCACACACAGTTGGAAAGGTGGCTGGAATGTTAGTGTAAGTATACATTTATTATGGGTGCCTTTGTCATGTGATGGCACTAACAGATCTATGGTTTTGCTAAGGTTGTTAAGGCGGGGGCAAGGGGAAATATTTTCTGGCTTGCTGCACACAGCAAATGTAAACTAGTTGATAACAGGACAGAGTTGGAGAAACTGCTTGCTTATGTCTTGTATTACTTAGTACAGCATACTGTTCTTGGATAGGAAAAAGGACAGTAGGGGTTACCTCTGAACCTTAGGGGAAGAGGGGGCACCTGTCAGACTGATCCGAGTTTCCCAACCACCACCACCCCCTAGGCCCACTGGGTCTGTTACTGCTGACTTTTGCATATTTATATTGATTTCAAAAACATTGCGATAGAGATCATAAAATACTGTTATTACTCACCTAGATGCAAATTGTTAACCCAGAAGCTTGAAACTTCATCCTGAATACTAGCCCATATATCGACAGTCTGACCCTGGGGCAACTGTGCCACACACTGAGAAAATCTGAAACAGAAATGTTATAAGTTGATATAGAAATGGTTCAGTCATTTTTTACGTTAACATTTCTATGTATTACCAGAAAGTGTAATGTCCTATAAAGGCCCTCACAAATGTATTACCTTTCAAACAAAGAAAGTATCCTCTTATCTGGTTGCAGTTCTTTACCTGATGTATTATTAATTGTCACTGAAAACAAGTAAAGACACCAAAAGTTCCAGTGGTTCAAATTGTGGGGATTTTTTGACAGGTATGGTGCTTCTTGGGTCATTTCAAGCTCTGTATAACATCAATAAGAAAGTGTTCTTTTCAATGATCTGAATGACAAACTAAGTTACTGTATTCCCTTTTTTTTCAAAGTACTGTTTAAAAGGATACGGGTTTTGCCTCATTCTGTTACTAATGTCACTTTTTTGAATGAAAAATTAAAAGTAATCTCACTTCTCAACAAAGCCTCCTGGAAGTTGTGCACGCTTATCATGTCCTCGTAACACCTGCAGCAATGTTCCAATCAACTTGTGCACACGTCGTAACTTCTCGTGCATTGTTATGATGCCACAGAACAACAAATCTTGGGCTGCTGTTGTTGGTGGATCAAGCTGAAGAAGTGAAAGCATTCAATTTAGTCTTTGTGAAATTCAATATACCCAGGAAATCACACACACACACACACACACACACACACACACACACACACACACACACACAAACTCACTCATGCGCAAACACATTTAATCAAATGGTTTGAACAAATGTAATGTGGCCATCAAATCAAAGATGTCATACAGCATGAATTACATGATGAAAGCAGATTGTGTACCTCAGAAAAGAATTTCATATGTTGTGTTATGTACTAAGAATAAGGCATCAATTTTTCTTCAATCCCCAGCTGGTATTGAAATTATTCAGGGGGAAGTATCTCTCCTGAATAGAAGCCTTTTACAGGATAGCCTCAATCCCTGACAGGATTGAGATGCTCTGGGCAGACATCAAAATATTAGAAATAAATGTATAATTTTAATACAACAATACCAGTTGTTGACAGAAGAAAAATCACTGCTTTATTCTTACTGAAGAAATCTACAAATCTTACCCTGTCTCCTGTGTTCAGCCATCCCACCTCCAACACCTGCTGTAACCTGGTCTGTATGGTGGCTGTGCTGATCTGCAGTAAACTGCTCACACTTTTGTACCAGGATGGAACAGACCTGGAATATGGTTGCCAGTAGATTAATAAATAATGTTTTATTTATTGTGAAGATATAGCTATCTAGGTAATTTAATATCGTTTCACAAACAGCATAAAATGTGTATCTGCAGTAATTTGGAAGCAATAGCACACCTTACATTCAGCTTCACTATTGATAGTAATTTTTGATAAGTGCCTGCATAAGTGGGTAAAATGGTGGGGGTGGGGTGTGGGGGGTTAGGGAAGATAACCATCAATTTGGCATTTTATTTGTCCAAGAGCCTTTGTTTTATAAAACTCTACAGTTATAAAGGCAAATTGATGGTCCTGGCAACTTACTGGAAATTGTTGAGTAAAAAATCCACTAGTCCCTGAAGCCATTTTATCTGATGTCCCCCACTGCTGTTGTCTGTCACAGCATTATAAACATCTTTCCTGTGTAGCACCTCCAGTAACGAAGCGAGGGTGGAAATCCTCATCCGGGCTGGGATTGGACTGTCTTGGCTTATTATTCCAAGGTGGTCACACAGGTGCTTCAACATAGCAAACCCTTGTGTTGCTGTACTTGATGTTCTGGTGGATAAATGTAGTAAATTATGGTTAGTTTGATAAACAGAGACAGCTGCTTTTAAAAACGATTCTTATAAAAAGACTTTCATAAAAAAATTATAAAGACTGGATTTTTTTCTATAACTGTTTCAATTCAAATTATGAAGTTAAAGCCTTAAACAATTTTCCTTTCAAACAACTTATGTAGAACTAGACTAAGTGCTTTATGACACTTGAACTTTGATTTCTGAACAGTTAAAAGATATCTGCTGTATTAAACTACTGAAAAAATGTCAGAGTTAAGTCATTACAACAAATTAAATAGAAGAATATATTCCGTACCCTATGCTAGCCAAGAACCCCTCGTACAACATGGAGATAAAGTTAAGAACTGCTTCCTGTTGATGCTGAAGTTCAAGACAGCTCATCTGAAATAGTAAACATGGCAGGGGGATTTGGGGTAAAAAAACTACCCTTTTCACCAAAAAAAGTCTGCCCTGAATCAAAATTCTATCCAAATTTTATGGTATTTCAGATGTTAGGTCAACTTAGAGGGAACATGTCTTCCATTTTATCATAATTTTATATGAAATTTGTAGACACAGGCCGAGTGTTTACATATACACACTGAAAGCAAAAAATATATCTAATTTATTTTAAAAAAAGATTCAACAGTGATCAATATCTACTAAAAAAATCTCAAATAAATAATCTGTATATATAAATACCATTTTCTCTGTGGCAGTCTTCAGTTTCACAAACATATCCTCCTGTAGTTTAGGTGGTTGAGTTTTTGCATCAGTCTCTCCTTGTAAGATGGACATGTAAAGTGAGAACTGGCTCTGGTGATCTCTGGAATGCATTATATATTTATAAATAATACCAAGTGAACACATACATAACTCATCACAAAATATGATAAAATACAGCTTCCTTTTCCTTCATTCATTAGTTGTGGTACCATTAATTTACAGATTCTGTGATAATATTCAGAATGGGTTGAGATCTGTAAACTCTTCAAATATAAAAACATTTTTCATATATAATCTAATGTCTACAAATCACTGATCTACTTAATATCTGGCATCATTTAACAGAATTATTCAACATGTGTTAAACTTGCATTACTGGCTGAAACGGCAGGTGCAAATTGGTAACCATTAATTTCTTTTGATGAAGTGACTCACTTGTGGTAGATAACAGCCATAATAATGTCCTGTAATTTCTGTGCTATGCTCATCTTAGAGGACAACCTGAGACTCTGTAACAATAGCACAAAGTTCACCAAAGCCCCATCTACAACAGCATGAAAAACCTGGAACAAAAATTATAGATATTGATTCAGAAATTGTAATGTGCATAAGTTCAACTTCTTAATTACATTGCCTCCATTTATTGATAGTCCACTGCCAAATAATTTTTAAAAAATCAAATCGCCAGGAAAATACCTTATATTTTTTTAACACAATTACATCCTCACTCCATTTTATATTGTTAAGCCATGACACAGGCCAAAGAAAAGGCAAATTTTTTGAGAGAGAGAGAGAGAGAGAGAGAGAGGGAGAGAGAGAGAGAGAGAGAGTGTGTGTGTCAACCCTTTAGTCAAAAACACACACTTGCTCTATAAAAGTTACCTGTTTCTGATTGGCATGTTGTCTCTGTAGAATACTGTATCGTGTCAGCAGCAAATCCAGCACATGCAGAAACAACTGTTGATCCTCACCATGACTGTCATTCACTTTAGAAAACCTTTGCAACAGCACTGACACATAGCTGTTTAATAGCTGAAGCTGAAGCAAACGAGTGAACAAGCACAATGGTTTTATAATTGAGAAAATGAATGTACTGTTTCATCCAGTACACTGATATCATGATAGGACAAAATAAAGTTAACTTAATACTGGACTTACAAAGTGATGTCACATCACTAGGCTATTACCTCTTGACTTTACTTTTAAATGTTGTGTTACATTTTGAATTCTTCAATTTCTTTCCTGTTCCATACAACCTGACACACCTAGATTGAATTTAGTTAATGCAGATAATTCTTTTTAAACTTTGTCTTTAATAAATGGAGATGGTGCAGTATATGTTGACAAGAATGTATTACCACTTCTTGATATTAGATATAAAGGAAAAATTCTAAAAAATCTGATTAAAAATATTTTCACCAAAGTCCTCCAACAAGAATTTTCTCATTTTTCACTACAACAGTGAATCCAGACTTACCACAGTTTCAAACCTGGATACCACTACATGGCAGTAAGATGATGTCTCAAGAACAATCCTACAGCAACAGGTCACATGACTAAGACATAATTTGTAAGCAGCATTCTTATTGGTTGTGGTGAACATGTCAGTCAGGGTCTTGTTAAAAGATGGAATGGAAGGATAAAATGGTTAATGAAATATGCAGACAGAACTTTCATACACAGCATCACTGAAACTTTTATTTAACATTACTGCTAATAAATACAATTGTTTGTAAGACAGAGATAAATACAGAAGTCCAGAGATAAAGATTTATGTGTAAAAAGAATTGAAAATGGAAATAATAGGTCAGAAACCCAAAGATTAATAAAATATCAAAGATAACGAGAAGCTGTAGAAACCAAACAATAACTTGTAACAGTTACTGTCCTTGATGTCTAGTGCAATTTATGCACAATTCACTTAATAACAACTGACAATCTTTTAACTCACTAAATTAGACACGAGGCAAACAAACAAACAAACAAACAAACAAACAAACAAACAAACTACCTGTACAAATGATGGTTTGAGCAGAACACCACAGGTTTTTCCTCTCTCAAGGATCTGAAGTAATTCAGCCAGTAAAGCCCACATAGGGAGAAGATTTTCATCCACTACATGCCATCTGAAATGATCATCAACATTAGCATACAGAAAAAATATATATGTTAAGAACACCAACCACCAACATAATAACATATACTACTATTATACTATAGAATACACATTTTTTCTCTGACAGATATCCTTAAAGTCTATAACCCCCCCCCCAAAAAAAAAAAAAAACGAAAGAAAATGAGAGAAACGAAAGAAAAAATATTAATAAATAAATTCCAGCTACATATATATATATATATAATAAGTGGAGTTATTACAAATATCCCCAAGTAAAAACACCACTCACTTCTTTTTATTCAGCAGAGCACCAGTCAGCCAGTCGATGACATACTGTTCTTTGTTAGGTATGACAACTCCCTTGGATGCCCACACAAACCTGGCTAACTTCAGCTTGGATTCCCAGGGTAAGAATCTGTCCTTCAGCTTCAAGTGCAGACCTGGGGAGAAAAAGTTCATCATCAGAAATTTTGTAAAATTGATCCACTGATCAGAGGGGGAGCAATCTAATTCTTTAAATCAAGAGAGAAAACTAACTGTTAAAATATATCAAATTTATAGGTATTTCGGTTCCATTTAAAAGAGCACTGTCCACAATGTGCTCGATATTCGACAGTCAAAAAGAGTTACGTTGAAGTACATGCTGATACTCGAGGCTTAATATATAAGCTACAGACGAAGCACTGATTCACCTTAGGGTAATAACTCTGCTAAATAACTTAACCTGCGACCAGAGACAGTCAGACCTCCTATGAGAGACGAAACGGCTGAGTGGAAGTCAAACACGTACATCTGCATCTTACAGTATCTCTTTGATTTTAGTTTTCTGATAGTTACAAATAAAAATCTCAAATCTATGTCATACACTAGAACATTTAATCCTACATTTTCCTAAAAAGCTTACCACTGCATGGCTTATTAAAGAGATTGGACTGCAACATTACGGGAAATCAACAACAAGGCATGCTTTGCTAGTACCCACATTTGATTGTCGTAATACGACTTCCTGTTGAAATTTTCTTTCCTACTTTGGTTTTTTGTTGCTTTAAATAAAATATTGCAAACACATTAAAAAAATAAATGCTAAAAATTGGTTGGCATTTAACATTTTACTGAATATATGTCTTCTGTAAGGCCTTTCACTATATAGTGTTAATAACGGGGGGGGAGGGGGGAGGGGAGGGTGCTATTAGAGTATGCCTACAATCTGGTAGGTCTTGTCTATATTTACAGTTTGTAATAAAGCCATAGTAAAAGTGCTATCGATTTGTCATTTAAAGTTTCATTTATGTATTTTGTTTAAATCGCATGATTTGTTTATCGATTGATCTATTTAGGGGCCTATTTTCAAATAATACTGTAGATAGGCTACCCGGTAGGCTATTATATTAGAGCTAAAGTTTTTACATTTGACAATTTTTGGATAAAGCTGAATATGTCCCCAAATTTAGTTTAACATGATTTATGTATACAAAATATTTATACAAAATTTATAAAAAAAAATTGTGGCTTGGGCTATATAGGGCCTACTAGTAGGACTTGGACTGCTGCAAAAATTTTAAATATTGAACAACTTAGGCCTACACGAGGAAGCTACAGTAGGCCTATATGCTAGGAGTTCTGTAAAAAATAAAATAAATGGATATTAATACTAGTTATTCGCCTAATAGCCAAAATAAAACAAATTTAATGTTATCATAAATTTAAATTGCAGGCGACATTAAACGAGGCATTTTTTAAGAAATAGGAATTCAAAATTATAGGCCTATAGGCCCCCTATGCTTTTAACGTACATTTGTAGGCCTACACATACACAAATGTTACTTGCGAATTTTGTAAAAGCCGGTAAAATGTTGAATATGGTCGTGTGCCTTTCGACCCATATATCAAGTATCGGCCTATATAAGCAAGGCGTTCAGCCTGGCTGCCTGACATCACTTAACTGCAAACTAGGTCAGGGAATTGTGTGAAATATGTAGCGTTGGATAGAATCGATATTTGCCACCATTGTGACGCGTGCGACAATAGCTGAAGTCTTAAAGAGAAACCAAACACCCTGGCGGTGGGTGTGGGGTACATCTAGCTTCTTTTTGTCATTTTTTGAGCTGATACTAGTAACGTACCCTGTATAGACAGGCGCTATTGTAGGCCTCTTATAACATCTTGCAGAAACGAGGAAATCTTAGGCGTTTGGCCTGCAACATTACAGTATTGGTATGGTACAGGTAAGCAAAGGTGGCGGCTACCGCTAGCCGGAGGTCACACGAGGTGAATTTGTAAGATATGGGGTTTTCAACAACATCCATTCATTCATTGTGAAATCACTGACATATATAGATCAGCATGCATCTTTAAAAGTCCTTAGAATATTGTTTTGATAACATAGCCTATATAACGAGGTTTCATTTGAAATGAAACTGGTGCATAAATAATTCACCTTACTATAGGCCTACCAGTGTATATAGCCTATATATTTATCTAAAAGAGTAATAGTTCAAGTGTGTTTATAAAAATTAGGATAATATCGTATAGGCTCATGCGTGTGATTTCAAAATAATAGTCCAAGAGGTATTTTCAGACAATAATTTGAAGTCCACAGATTCAATTAAGATGTCCTTTTATATAGCTTTTGACAACACATCTGTCTTCTCGTACAGTTAATCCCTCACTCACGGGCACTACTTGCCTCCCTAAATAGGGAGTCACGTATTTAAAACTGCATAATGCAATCACGGCAAGTTCAGAGTTATAATGTTATTTGCAAGTAAAATAGTCGGATTGTACAAAAATATAAATTCTTAAATTCACTAAATGATAATAAAAAAACTGTTAAGACTGTTAAATTAAAAGTGCACTGCGGTTGAAATGAAACATTTGGTCCTTTGAGGATATTTAAAGGGGCCTACATTAAGTTTAATATCAATTAAAACATACTTAAAGTGAGTTCAGAATTCAGTGTGCATGGGATGGATGTTTTTGAAGGTCTGATACTTCTCAGTTTTGGTACAGTATATTTTTGAGTTCGAAGCACAATACATGGCTAACGTATTTGTCTCAGTGTAGATGGTGTAATTTATGGTCTTTAATTTGGTCATATTGAGGTGAAATGGTTTGATAGGTCAAACATTCAGCCAGCAAGTGAATTACACTTTTAGAAAATGTTAGTGCCTCATCATATTGTCTGAGTTTATCATTTTTATGCACTTTTCTGGTCATTTCAATCTTGTCAGTTTGTTGTCTCGTAAGACCAGGGTGCCAAACTTGGCAGGTGTACTCCAGCGTAGATCTGATCACTAACACGAAAAAGTGTATGAGTTTATTATCAGAAACCTCTGCTCTTTTCATTAGTTTTAAATACTTAAGTCTTTGATTTACCTTTTTGTATTATATATATTTAAAACGTGTTCCTCCCAGCTGAAAGCACTACTTACCTTAACACCTAAAAAGACCGGGGAACTTACTCTCTCACTCCTTTTATCGTTTATCACTAAGGGTGTTGTCTATGCAGTGGTGGATTTAGAGGGGGGTCAGGGGGGGGGGCCCTTCGATTTCAGGTCCCCTCTTGAAATTAGAATTTTGACTAGCTGAATCATAGTTCTAAACCATACCAAATGACACCGTTCGCCCTCTAAAATACCAAAATTTCCCGGGGCCCTTCGGGGGTAGGGGGAGGGTCGGCTTTGTATACGCGAACCCCCTTCAAACAATCCTGGGTGGCGCCTGTCTATGACCATGTCTTCAAAAGCCAAATATTATTTTTTTTTGTTTTGCCTTCATTTATTGTTTTAAAATTTGTTATCAGTGAGTGAGTTCTCCAGTCGCAACTGGGAGGATGTGTTGTTTCTGGGCGCTTCCTTAGCCAAGAATATTAATGTTATCTTCACATGCACGTATTTTAAAGTGTTACATTCGGTTTTAAGTCATTATTTATAATAACAAAAATCATTGGTCCGAGTTTTGCGAAGTTAGTTATATAATTTTTGTAACTGGCCACACAAGTGCATGAGATCTTCATGATAATTCTATAAAACATCTCTTTCGAATCTAATTAAAGGCAAAAGTATATCCATGTAATTAGCACATGATAACCCTTAAATTTTGCTTGAAAAAATTAGCCCGAAAATATAATTTTTTAAAAACCTTTTTCAGGAGTAATCTCAGCCAATGGATACGGGCAAGGTTTTGTGTACAATTACAGCCTTTTTGGCATTTTTAACAACCCACTTTGCATCCTCTGATAGCGATAACACGAGAATCGTGACGGCAACAACGCCCTCTATCGGATCGGTCTCCCAGAGACATAATAGCGGCAACAACACCGAGACCACACATACTTTCACAGAGACCTCGCCTATATCCAGTATAAACCAATCAGGCACGACCAACAACAAGAATATCGGTAACGCCACTCAAACCACGGCTACTTCTACCGCGACCACGCCCACAACCACCGGTGCCACGCCCATTCCTGGAGTTCAAGGATGGATCATAGCCACTGCCGTGTCAACCAGTGTTGCAGGGTTGCTGATCCTGTGCTGTGTGGGAGTCTGTGTGTATCTGTGCTGTCAGGACAATGAAGATTGCTGTCTGTGTTGTTGTTGCAAGGACTACGACGACTGCGAGGAATGTCGAGAGGGATGTAGAGATTGGTTTTCTGATTGTTGCGAAAACTGTTTCTCGGTAATTCTTTTTCTGTTTTTTGTTGTTTTTTTCCCTATCCAGTATCCTCTCTATCCACAGTCGTGGCATCCAATTAAAATAACAGACATATTCTATTTCCAATTGCTTACATGAACTAGTTTTGTTGTGAAGAATACGTAATGATATTTAAATTATACTGAAATGCACCAATGATATCATATTGATCATCATAAAGTAAATCAGTAAAAGTACAATGAATAATTGAAGCAGTACGGGTTAAAAAAAAGAACTATCTAAGGAAAGAAATATATTGAGTTGAAGTTAATATGCTATTAGTTTTCTTAAATTTGGACTTATTTGTATTCATCAATCAATGCATATCATTCATGTAATACTGCATATTTATTTTCCTTTCAGAGGTGCGTATGTAAATCAGATCCCGAAGCGACACCCATGGTTGCACAAACTGAAACGGAGATTCCAGACCCTATTCAATTTATATCTGTTCATCTGCCAGACGGACAGAGTCTGCGCATGTCCGTTAGGAGCACGGATAAAATTCGAGTCATAAAGACCAAAGTCATTGAACTTGTAAATCTACCCCTTTATTACGTGAATGTATATCATGGTCTTATGCCGGGCGAATCAGACAGTCTTGACGAAGACATATCTTTCACGGGTTATGGCATTTACTTTGGAACAGACCAAGAGTTTACGGTCACCTATGCCTCACATAGTGTTCTTGTTCAATTTGCCGATGGCAGCCTTGAAGAACAATCTTGGGATCCCCTTCTTACCGTCGGAGATTTTTTGAATATGATTGATCTTAAATCACAAGCAGCACGCAAGGATATGCTTCTGATAGAAGCCCAGTGGGAAGGAAGAGCTGCACTCCAAGAATTGGTCGAATCCGACAAGAAGACTCTTCTATATCGTCTGCGTAAAATAAAGGTGTCTTTTTCATTCCAAGTCGTGTTAAAGATAATAGGACAGAACACCCAAATATCGGCTAAAGTGTTCCCAACGGATACAGTGAACGCATTGGCGAAGAAATTTCTGAAGGCAGTTATTTTCATTTACGAAGGGACACAACTCGGAAGCGACAAAACGTTGAAGGATTATGGTCTCCAAGAAGGGTCGGTTGTGACTGTTGGCTGGTCAGTAAAGGTTTCTGTAGCACGTGGCGGTCAAATATATAAATACTCTTTGTTGGCAAGCAATGTCGTCGGCGAACTTAAGCAGATTCTGGCGGTGGATACAGACATTCATCTTTTTGAACAACACCTTAGTTTCAATGGTAACGTTCTTAGTGACGATAAGATGTTAGCCGAATACCTGACCTCCAAAATGGAAGAGGAAATGGACATCATTCTTACCAGTCAACCCTGGAGAGTATCAGTGCTGCTCCCTACCGGTACTTTGAGAGACTATCAAGTTTCACCAAATAACAACGTGGCGTTTTTGAAAAATCAAATAGAGGCAGACGCAGACATTCCTGTTTCACGCCAGATCTTACAAATTGGTCGAAACGATTTAGCAGACGACGGACTGCTCTGTGATTCTATAGTACCGTCCAGTAGTCTAATCTATCTGAAGGAACAGATTGCCCTAAAGTATTCCTCAAACTGGACACCTGTCAGTGCCAGATGGAGGCCTTTCTTTGAAGAACTTCTGCAGGTCAGCGACGGGAACTTGAAGGAAGTGAACAACGTATGTTTCAGCACAAAGATCGACAGATTTAAAATTGGATCGTAAGTATAGAGAGGTGTGCTGTATTTATTCAGTTTTGTATAATCTTTTGGTTTGATTGTGGTATCATTTTAAAAACGTTTATGCTCCCAGTCGGGTTCTGGTGGTGGTTTTTAATATTTTAGTTGTTTATAGACGCGTTCCCGTTGACTAGAACATGCGAAAATCAGTAAAATTGAAATGAAATACTTAGATAAAGTTTGTGTGTTGTGTGCTTTAGTGTTTAGCTTTGCTGATGTTGTAAATTGAAGTATGTTTTCTGTCATAGTAATTTAATACCGACGTACTAGTGTAAATGGCCAAGGTTAAATTTTTACCACACGTCTTTCATTTGTTCTTTTATCTGGGGCAAGAGTCATCAATCGTGGTTAAAGATTCAGATTCCTCAGATTAGATTATTATATTTTCTTTTCAGCGGCAACAAAACTGAGGTGTTTCTGGGTATTCGGCATGATGGCAGAGAGGTCGCCGTAAAAAGATTCCCCAGGTCCATGTCACAGAACTTCAAGAACGAGAAAGGCTTGTTAACTACATTGGATTCCCCAAATATCATCCGATATCTTGATATTGCCATGGATGACGAGTTTCTGTACCTGATTCTTGAGCTTGGAGAGTTTACTCTCAATGAATTCATATCTACAGATGAGTACAAACAAAACCAGACCAACATCTCCCGAGAACTCGTAGGGCAAATCTTGGAAAGCCTCAGAACCTTACACACTGGACACAACGTAATTCACATGGATATCAAGGTAGATACCCACATTCAGCAGTCAGTGAATTTTGGGAATCCTGGTATACTGGGGGTACTTATTTTTGCTCCTGTCAACAGTTTTATCGTAATAATATCATTTTGGGCTTTTCCAAATTTTATTCTTAAAATGTTGACACTTATTTTTTACTTGCAAATAAAACTTGTGTGCAAAAATTTTCATGTTAGTAACTGATGGTTAGTATGCAGAAAAGTATAAATCCGTCTTATAATAATGGATTATACAAATGTAGTACATTAAGTAATACCCACCAATTCCAGCCCCACAACGTTCTTATAGATATCAGCAATCGAGCAAAGTTATCAGATTTTGGCATTAGTGTGGTCCTCCCGGATAACCAGAGCACTTTCTACACTACTGCTAAAGGTATATTACAGTATTTCTATCATCTTGTGTATATCTATCTGTCTGTCTGTCTGCCTGTCTCATGATATTATATTATTGGCCACAAGGATATAGTAGACGTACTATTAAAAGCTCTGATTTATATTACCCATTACCAATTTATAGCTTTTTAAAATGCCGTGCTGTAACATGTATTAACATTGCTGCTTGTGGTTGTTATGTTTGGTGTATCTTCAGGGACATATCACTGGGTGGCAAAAGAGATACTGGATAGCGCCACTGGGAAAGTCAAATACAAGAAAAATGCCGATATTCAGGTAAAATTACAGTTAACTACATAAACTTGTCAACAACTATCCTAATGAAGATGTCATGGATACACGTACACGTGTATAATTGAAGTAGATTTATAAGCAGTCATCAGCATGATTTTTTTGAATCTCCTTTATACGTACATGGAAATATGTGATTACTATAACTACTTTGTACCGGGGTATAGTTATTGACGAGCCGAACATTATGTATAGCTTACATGTACATGTATGTGTGTTAAATTTTAATTTAAAAAGTGTTTTATATCTGTCGCCCTTGCAGGTGGCCGGGATGTTAGTCTACTACACACTAACAGGTGGCATACACCCATTTATGCCCAATGGCGAGGCCGACGTGTTTCTGTGTAACAAGAACGTTCAAGATGGAAAGCATAACCTTTCAGCCTTGGACGACATCGTTGGAAAACATTTAGTGGACTGGATGCTGCAGCCAGACCCTGAGCTGAGGCCGACCATTGAGGAGGCACTGGCGTGAGTTTTCTTTTTGATTCGTCTTTTCCCCTTTTTGAATAGATTTATTTGTCAATAAAAATAAAAAGAATATAAAATAAATAAATAATTACAATAATAATAATAAATAAAAAATCATAAATTTAAAGCAACTACAGCTACTTGCACACTACAAGATTAAAGACACGCACTTAAATAGTTAACGGTCGTTTTCACTATCTACAAGTGACAAAATAATAACTATTAATGTATTTCAGTTGGATGTGTGTAATGTTGTTCAAATACATGAAAGCACTTAAACTCATACTGACAAGGGAATATTTTTTAAAAAAATGTTTCATTGGTAAGAATTTAGGCACAGGGAGTTACGTAGTAAATGTGCAGTAAATATTGATACATCTCTTATTAACAGGCACCCGTTCTTTTGGAATGTGGATATGAGGTACCGTTTTCTTGGTGTGTTGGGGGACGAGAAGGAAGTGAAGGAAAGGTAAAACAGAGGGATAGGTGCATATAGTCATTTTATACATTAAATGAAAGATTTAGCTGTGACAGAATGTTGAAATGCAAACCAGTAGTACTTTGCTTCGTGGTACATATATCAAATGTCCTTTACGTTCCAGATTGTATTTTTGTTACCTTAAACATTAATGTAAACATTTATTTTAATGTCTTATAACTTAATATTAAATTTTATAGTCTTCTGATATCAGCCCGTTTTAGTAGACGTAGATGTATTGAAGAAAATGTGAGAATAGAATATCGGCAGTATACTTAAATGCGAGCAGTTTAATGATCATTTTTTTGTTTACAATAAGAACAGCCGTTATCTATGTGATATTTGATTGGTATAAAATCCATGTTAATCCACTGAATATATTGCAGTTGGAAACAACAGCCACATTCCGTTACATTGACACTGGACGGGTTGACGGTATCCGTGTTTAACACAGTAGCACACTGGGTAGGTCTTTCTGGTTTATTATTAAAGATTTTGCTTCTGCATATACTTGAATGTGCTTTCGCATATACTTGAATGCGGATAACCAGTGTGTTACTGGCGTACGCGTAATATTAGACTAATTAATCTACGTAAACTCATCCGGAGAGATTGGAGGAAGGGAGAGGGAGAAAACCAATGGTGCGACCCTATCTTTTTCCAGTACCAATGTCACTGCCCTCTAAAATCTGGCCAAAAACGACACATGTCCTGTAAGCTCTGTACTGTAAAATTCCCAGCATTTTTATCATCTTTCAAACTGTACTGAGCTTGAAATTTAATCAAATCAGTCGTGAAATTTAATGTATTTTCGTGTAGGGCATTACTCTATATTATTGTACAACAGCCTGAATATACACGCAAAAGTGCCCCCGTCACATAACGAATCACAGGTCATCTCATCTTCCATCTTTGATTTATTGAGGACGCCCGTTCAGTGCACGTGGCATGCACAGAACCTCTAAAATCTTGGCACGAAGACAAAATCTTTAATTTCAATATTTTATATAGGACTTTATTTCAATAAAATAATTATATAAAGAATAATTTCAATGTAATTTGAACAGTTTTTTGTAGAATGCGGTTTATATCTGTGTGACAAAATTAGTCATAAATTTTGTCAAGAATTTAGTATTTTATTAATGACGTATGACGTTTCCTCTTTTCAGAAACGATTTATTATTTTACCATTGCAGCACAAGTGACATTGAAAAATCTGTTTCACCATCTGTATATTGCACTGACGAAATAAACATACCGAGTTTAAAAAAATAATGTTTTGCAGAAAGACTTGCTCGATCAAGCTGTTTATTACGAAGTTTCAAGACCAGTGAGGAATGGCTACAGGTCTACCATATGCGGACTTCTTCGATTTATACGAAATGTGGACGTCCATCTCAAAGATCAGTAAGAATGATTACTAATTTTGGAAATATTATCAATTCTTTCAGTATGTAGCATTAAATATGCTAATGCATGTATGGGAAATTTCTGAATAAGGTGATTTTAGCTCATTTTAACGAACATCTTAGGGGAATAACTTTATGGTTAAAGTTGGGGAAGAAATTATGGAAGAGGGACAAGCCCTTATGACTTGCATCGTTAAAAAGCATTTCCAGAAAAAATATTTATCAAATAGAAGATTTCCAGAGTTAAGACAGTTCTTCTGAAATTTACAAATCAGTCTTTAAAGAGGTAGATATAAGAAAGTGATGTTTCAATAAAATTACCCTTTTGTCCATCGCAATATTTCGCGAGTTTCATAAAATGTTACGATTGGTTGGTGAAAAAAGATTATTTTTATTGCTAATAGGTATCAAACTGATTAAACTGTTCTAACATCAACGTGGGAACTAGGGGAGAGCGGGGTTGGTTGGAACAGTTTTCACCTTTTTTGCGATATCTCAGCAGTCAAAGCTTTGGGGACAAAAATAAAAAATCTGATAGGGGAAAATTATATGCCGCACTCATCTATGAAATAAAACATCAAGTAGGTCTTTTTATTTTAGAGTAATAAATGCTCAAAGTTGGCTCCTAAAACGTTCCATCTCACCCCACCCGCGGGGTCAGTTGGAACAGGCAGTGGGGTGAGTTGGAACAATAGGGCGAGTTGGAACGCTTGCATATAAATTCAAAGTATAATTCATTTTAAGAGTAGGTCTATCTATATTAATTTCCCAACAAGTACGTGCTACTTTGTGTTCGTATCTCCATAGTTTGTAAGCATTTTTTACGTTTACAATTTGCTTTCAAATAGTCTTTTCGATGTATAAACCATATCCAGTTACACTTCATTTCATAATGATAACAAAAGTGGTGTAGTTTAAGAGAAAAGAAATTGAACTCATATAACTCAACCTATTAACAACAGTATGTTAGACCTACAAATGAAAACTGTATCTCTTTCAACTCAACAACTCAGAATCAAAATCGCAGTTCTGACATATGTAGGCCCTACACTTGGTCAACCTTTGTACAGTCTTCATGTGACCACTTTAGACAAACAATGCATTTAACCCATTGCTCTTTTGGTCGGCTGTTAATGAACGGCTCCCCACAAACCAGACATGGCCACTCTTCTTCTGACTCAGAATCGCTGGTCATCTTTAATTCCCCTTTTCTTGATTTTCTCTATCGACTAGAAATCTTTAACTGTTTTTTATTTTTGTTGCGCTTGTCCTTTGTAATTTTGTTGGGCTTGGCCTTTTCTTTTTCGAGTAGCTCATTTTCAGGTGTGTCAGTTAGTACTGCACTGCATCGTTTTCTTCTTTTAATCTTTGGAATGCGACGGTGAGCCTTTGGAACCGGTCTAATTATTGCTGGACTTGAGCTGTTTGGGGGTTTTCTTAAGTGACCTTTAGTGTGCTGTAGCACCTCTTCCGGTGAGGGCAACTGAGATTTCAACTGAATCTTTGTCTTAGTTACGAGGTGAATGTTTGTCTTTTCTGGCGGATTTTGTACCCTCGTTCACTTAACATTAACAGCAACCCCCAATCCATTACACAAAGCATTTAAAACCACATCGGCAGAATTGGTGTTGTATAGTTTATCCATAACATAGGCTCTCAGCTAGAATATTTTCATTTTGCCGCGAAAAGCAGAGTAATAATCAACATTTCCTTCCACATCTAAAAGCAATTTATCGCATAAAGCAACAGTGGGCATGCAGACCCCTTTCGACCAAACAGCTAGCAACTGCATTTAACAAGCAGTGACCATCCCCCCTTGTATCTTCTACACGCATGTACATTCCGGCATCTTGCAGATGTTCTATCAGCTAGATTCTGTCTCCAGTTGGAGTTGTACTGGGTTACTACGTTACTACTCTCTTCACAGTTGAAATTAAAATGTTTAGAGAGGTTTAAAAAATGAAAAACACCGTGCGGGGTGGGTTGGAACACCCCTGACAGTGTTCCAACTGGCCCCATGTCAAATGTTCCGACCAACCCCATGACGTCATGGCCTACTTATGACACTGTATTTCTTTAACACGTGGGAAGTGATTAAAAACAACAACAGCCTTTTGAACATCAAGGTGGTCCTAAACGCTATGCACAATTTCAGTGATATAATCCTTATACTTAAGTTTACAGCACGATGAATATCAAAAATATGAAAACTTACTTCGAGTAGCGAAAATAAGTTTTTTTCGCATAAAACTTTTACTGCATTTTCGATACTTCCACAAGTTTACCGGATGAACGACCATGCCACGTGACATTTTTATGCTGAAGGAGCACATGATCGGTCTTGTGATTTAAGAAATAAAGCCAATGTTCCAACTTACCCGCGTTCCAACCCACCCCGCTCTCCCCTACATGAGTTGTGTTTTTTCCTTTTTTACTCGACAGAAAAATCCCAGTCGTTCTCCTGGGTCTTTGTAAATATTTGTATTTTAAAGAAAAAATTGGTGTTTTGTACATTTAATGAATATCCTTTCCAGGCCGACTGCTATACAAGCCAGTGTAGGTAATCCCATGACGTATTTCACCGCCAAGCTGCCTTTTGATGAGCTGTTTTTGAAGGTTTACAAAACTGTGAGAGACACCCGGTCGTCTGCTGATGACTGGACGACTAGAGGTTCACTGAAGGAATATTTTCCTGCATAATGTTTCTAAAAATCCTTTGACAAAGAATGTCTTAATGCATGCTTAGTTTTTGTTATAGTAAATCTAATATTGCGATGAGGAAAAGCCTAAATAAAGCCACGACCAATATCCAGCGGGGATTTCAGTAGTGAAGCCGCTTGAATCATTTGCTGAAGATTGGTCTCGCAAGAAATCTAGGATAGGACTTTGCCGAGCATAATGTGGAACATTGCTACCAGATGTAACATAATATCAATGGCACGTGCAAAATGAATGTATAAAACTGCACATAATATTATACTTACAAGGTTAGACAAGAGTAGTTAAAGGGTTTGCTTCATGCCGTCAGAATGGCCNTAGAAATAAAGCCAATGTTCCAACTTACCCGCGTTCCAACCCACCCCGCTCTCCCCTACAACAAAGCTAGGGCATACCATCTGGAGGAGCGACCTTGTTGGGTAAACCCAGAAGAAGAAATCTTAAATGACACTCGGTCCACGGTTCATTTTTAGTCCTTTACACCGCCTCTTTGCATGAAGTTAAGCCAAACTAAAAATGCTACATTTAAATGTAACCGACGAAGGGCTACGTTTGGAAGAATCGTAATAACGACTCGTAGGACATATGTTCAGGATATCTTAATTGCAACTCGTCATTGATGCGAACTTGTGTGGGAGACACGTGAAATTATGAAAGGCAAATACCTGTTTTATGTTTTTTATACCTGTATATTTGTTGGTCGCTCTGCTTTATCAAACTGGTCAAATTGCTTTTCACAAAAAAACGTTGCTCCACATATTGGACTCTAATTAATTTTAGAGCTCGTAGGTGAGGTATAACGATCGAAAGAGATGGAGAGTATTAAGAAATAATACATTGACATCAATTTTCTTTAGCATGAGTTGTGTGTTGTTGACTTTGTGTGGTGGATGGTCTTGACGTTAGACTTTATATCTGTATATCAACGTAGCATTAATTTACCTGAAATAAATTGTTGTCCAGACTGCATACCGTATTACCAGTAACTCTGTAGGATAAAGTCTTACGGAAAAGGAGCAGCTGAAAAAGTTGAATCAAACAGCTATCACATTTTTGTCGTGCATCATTTCAAGAACTGAGCTGAAACGTCATAATATTTTGTCAAATCAAAATTAGTTTGACCGATTTCATACAAATTTGCACAATTAAAAATCATTTTTGCAAACTGACATACTCACGAGCGTTTTGCGATCTAACAATAGGCCTACATAATCACCTGACAGATTTGATGTTCGATCGTCAAGCTTTTTATAATTAAAAGTAACTGACAGATTCTTGCGGTATGTTTACTTTTCTCCAAGAATAAAGGGTATCACTTAATTGATACACTGGAGTCTGCTTTGTTCGATTGTGTAAGTTGGGACATATAAACCCACCATTGTGTTTTGGTGGATGGCCAAGCAGTCACGCTCGGTTATCACCTTCATTGGTTTAAATGATTGTCGTAAAATCGTTATAATTAAAAATTAACGTGCATTAACATGAAAGTCACATACATTGACCTAAGACTGTCATACCAGTCTAACATAATACAAAGACGAAATCAGTTAAAGCATTCAGTAGGCCCTACACATGTCGCAAAATCCCCACATACCCCCCAGAGACAATAACAGACAATAATTAGCACAGGTCTCAAACTACTGCGCAAGCGCGAAAAGTACGCTGAATGGTGAAATTGACAAAGCCTGCCGGTGTTTACCGTCTGGTCTCCGTCTGGTTGATTTGATTTAATTTGCTTTCTGGTGTTGTTTTGAGAAATCATATTAGAAATATTTTGTTGATTGTATGTTTTGAAAAGCAAATCCACTGGACTTTCCTGATTAACATTCATTTTGCCGTCATTGTAAGGGGGATTCCCTTCGCATTTATAGTGTTATATGTGGCCTCAAGGGGATTTTCCACCCCTCCCCCACTCTTGATTAATAAAATTCTTCATCGGGCAGATTGAAAATTATATTGCAAAATACATTAAAAATCGTAAGAAGGTTAATTGCAGATAATGCTGTAAGGATATTCTTATTGGGGGGCGAACTCGGTCAATATAATTTTTTTTTACTTCGTCTTACGATTTTGGAGCGCCTGTTCTAATTTTTGAAAGCGAGGCAATGGAACCAAACAATACGATACAATTTGTTATCTCGTAAAAATGGATATTTTTTAATAGAGGTCATAGCCGGGCGTACATCAAAAGGCCACTCGTTTATAATTGTGATATTTAATAATAATTGATATAAAATATACGATATAATAGATTCTTGTAGACGGCCTATTTATTAGCTTTATTGATTTTTTTTAAGTACAGTATTTGGAGATTAAAAACACAAATGTTGTCTGGTTTCATATCGAGGCACACCTGTAATCAGAAAGTGATACTTCAATCCACACAAATCGCCGCCATTAAACTAGAATTCTCTCACTGACTGTAAAGTTTAAGCCGTTTGCCGTGGAGTATAATGTCAAAGGGAGGGGCAGCACCAGTAGCAGCTAGTGGAGGTGGAGGATCCGCTTTTCAGAGTGGCATGAGCACTTTCACAAGTTGTAACAAAGCGGGATCAATTCCTCATTTCAACAAGCACCTTGCGAAATATCCGAATGATTTCAATGCTTTATGGTATCGTGGTACAGCCTACGCAATCATTGGGAAGTCAGCAGAGGCGTTGAGGGATTTCAGGCAGGCAGAACGCGTGAGTTCCGGAGCAGAAAAAGAGGCCGTGAAGGCTTTATTACAAGGGCTGCAGGGCAATGAAACAAATCGCCGTCAAATTCTACAAAGAGCGGTGCAAAGGTACCCTGATAGTGGCCTTCTCTGGCAGGAGTATGGGGGCTGCTTGTCGAGTGATAATAATTATTCTGAAGCCCAAAAAGCTTATCAAAATGTTATTGCACTCAACTACCCATTCGCATATTATTCCCATTGTCAAATGGGAGAAATATACCGAAGAGCGGGCAATAGGCAAGAGGCAGTGCGCCAATTTGAATCTGCCATCACAAAGTGTCCTACTCTCACGATTGCCCACCTTAATTTGGGAGAGGTGTTGGAAGAGGGAAACAAGACGCACGCTGCCCTCCGTTATTATGAGCGGGCGAAAACGTTAAACCCCGTTTTGTATGAAAAGTGGGAAAAAAGACGAGAGCTGCAGCTCACTTCGGCTTTTACTTCCTTGTTCCAAGACGAAGACGACACCAACGAAAAGTGGCAAACTTCGTCATTTCATGATCTTGCACGGCCAGTTTATTCTCCGTTTGGTGCAGCAGCCAGAGAGAGGCGACCGTCAGCATCATACCCTGGGCCACACAACGGGAGCTACGGCGGCCAATATGCAAGTTATTCGGGAGGTGGCAAAGGTGGGACAGAAGGCGGGAGAGATGGGGCAGGAGGTAGGAGAGGTGGGACAGGAGGTGGGAGAAGGGGTGGGGGCAACGGCAGTGATGATGATGATGATTTACGGCCAAAGAAGGATTTTGACCCCAGGGCAGAAAGCGATCCGAAATGGAATTACAAATATAATGGAGAAAAAATCTACAAAGTCAACGACTACTGTTACATGAGAGATAGGGCCGGCCACGCTGGGTCGTACTGGAAAGCGTTTAAGTACTTCCCAAGCAAGCTCGTGTTGTCCCATTCAGTGAATAAGTACGGAGAGATCATAGACAAAGCTGAGTCCAATAAAGGACTAACTCTCTGGATGAAGGACCTTGATGGGTACACCCGGAAGAAGAAATCTTAATTGACACGTACTAGGTCTGCGGGTCCTAATCAGCCACTTTGCATGAAGTCAAAATATTTTTGACTTTTAAATTCAATCGATGAAGGGATAGTTTTGGACAAATCGTAATAACGACTCATTAGACCATAACAATTTGGCTCATGGCAGACAAGTAACAGTTCAAGGTAACCCGTAAATGAAGGGGAACTTGCGTAGTAATCACGTGACATTATAATGATATGAGTATTGTTAATTTATCAATGTAACACCAATATCTATTGATGTATTCATGCCTGTGTAATTTGTTAGTGGCCATGCCTTTTACGAAACTGATCAAGTTGCTTGGCAAAAATGTTGCTTCCAAATTAATGAATTGTACTTTATTCCTTTTACGATCGAGTGAAAAGGGGAGGAAAGTAATTGGGAGAACAATAACTGATTATTTCCTCAGCACATCCAAGTTCCTACCTGAAGCTGACCGTTAATTCATGGTAAAGGCCAGGCAGCCATACTTTAGATGAAGGTCATTGTACCAGTGCTGATGAACACATAAGTGAGGAAGAGCTTGATGTCTATGTGAAACCAGATGTCCCCACTACAAATAGACGAGTGTATGTGAAGCAATCACCTTATCTCAATGTATTTTATAATCACCACCCACTCAAGGTCACAATTGATTCAGGAGCAGAATCAAACAAGATTCTTGAAAGTGTAGTCAAGTAAATTGGTGCTGCAGTAAAAAAAGCTTTCAGCGTGTATTCCAGGGTGATAGGCAGTCACCACTTAAAGTAAAGGGAGAAACTTGTATTAAATTAAATCGTAATGACCATCACTTCCCCCTACAAGCTTTAGTTGTTGAAGATATGATGTTGATAAATTAGGAGGTGTCCCATTCATCCGCATCCGAGGAACAGGGTTGTCAGCAAATGTGGACTCAGAGGGATCAATTTACTTGTACACAGATATCCATGGTAGACCGAGATCTGATAATTGAGCAACATAGGCGACGGGTCACAAACCACCCACATAGTGAACAGTCTAAAGCTCCCAGCAAAGAAACTGTTAGTTTGTGTGAAGTTGCAGTCGGAGACTTGGTGTACTTATATTCTCACTGCACCAAATTAAAAGAACGTGATAGATTTTTAGTCATGTCAATTGATGGGCAGTGGTGCAACATTCGTAAATTTATAGGATCCCAACTCTGAGCGACTTCCTAGAGAGTAAAGTTTTCAGAATGCTACCAAGTTCCAAATGACACTTTCTTATCTTCTGATTACTTGGGCCACTATCATGGTTCAGATGGGGAGGCTTCCGACATTGAAAAAGACGAAAGTGAAACCCCTCAGACTTCACCTCCTGCACAGCCATTTATTTCACATGCCTTTTCTCTACCTGCCGGTGATGAAGTAGAAGCATCAACACTAGAACCTGACAACCAGGTAGATACAACAATGAATGAGACATTGTCACGAGAGACCAATAATCTGCCACCAACATCTCCAAGAAAGTCTACCAGACGTGAACAGAAATATTTACAGGACTATGTCATGTATCAATAATCTCAATTAAGGGACACAT